GCAGAAAGGTATAAAATGTGGATTAGCATTTTGCAAAATGAATGGTAAAAAGGTAAATAAATTTGGCCTTATCAAGAGCCCTCTAAAGTGTCAGGTAAAGATAATTTACTTTAGATCAGTGTTACGCCAGCATTGTTAAAAATGCTGTATCTATATTTCCCATAGAGTTTCAGTGAGCTTGTGTAATGTGTTTACTGGCATTCGGTAACTAAAATGTTCCAGAATTTAAAAACAAAAAAAGCATTCCTCAAATACTAAAATGAATAAAAATCAACTGAGAACTTATATTTTACAGGTTTTTCTCATACTTCTGACCATAGAAATAGTTTTCTATGTGAACTCCTTAAAATAGGTTTTTGTAGATTATATTCTCAGATACAAACTTCTAGAAATAAATCTTTTCTAATGAAAGAAAAAAGTATTTTTCTACTGCTATCTTTTTATTTTTGATATTATAATGCATGCACACATATACATAACACTTTCTTCTTCCCGTCTCTCTGCAACCCTAACACCTACCCCTGCTTTCAAATTCATGGCTTCTATTTAATTGTTGGTGTGTGTGTTCCTGAATACAACCTGCTCAGTCTGTATAGAATTAGTTGTGTGAACCTGCTTTTGGGACTAACCATTTGGTATTAGGTCACCAGTTGATGTGTTCTTCCTTGGGGAGGACTCTTTTTTTCCTACTCTCGGCTTTCCTTAGTTGCATATAGTCCTTTGTCTAGGGTTGAAGACTCATGAGATTTCTCCCTTCCTTGTTAGCATGTTGGTGTCATCCTTGTTCATGTCTTGTTTAGGTAGCCATATTGGTTAGAATTCATGTATGTAGCTTACTGACGTTTCTAAGAGAAACACTATCACAGCAAACCTGTTTCTCGTGCACTGAAATCCTTCCCATCTCTGCAATGACCCCGAGCCTTAAGTGCAGGGCTGTGTTGTAGTTGTAGTGGTTGGAACTAGACTCCAAAACTCTGCGTTCTTTATGGGTTGTCTGTGCCTACAGCAAAAAGAAGTTTCCTCGATTAGGGGTGAGAACAATACTTATCTGTAGGTATAAAGGCAAATATTTAGAATGTAGGTAGGGTTTGTATGAGTTTAGTAAGTTGGTTGTGGATTTTCTAAGATCTATGACTGCACTAATCCTCGGTAGTTGGTAGAGTTTCCAATACCATCCGTGTCTTCCTTCTTGTTGAGCTAACTCACTGAATATGGCCTTTGCTAGTTGTTTCCTACCCCGTTTGTTTGTTTGTTTGTTTGTTTGTTTTTTGTATGGAGGCAAATTCCAATTATGTCTATATCAGTCCAATTCTGGTGCTTAGGAGCTCAGGGATGTGCTGGTAAGTCCTTTTCCCATACAAAATATGGCCAATTGAGGCAAAACAAGAGACCAAATTCTTCTGCCTATAAACTTGTGTTGAATAATGTGATTTAAGTGAAGAAGCAAATGGATTTCTTAATGTGCATCCCATAATTAGACTGACTTCCACCCAGTTGCAGGATATGCTGAGTTTGGGCAGACTTTCTTCACTGGGAAGAGGACTCAGCAGAACAACATGTTTTCTGTGACTGTCTTTTATCAAGAAAAGGGTACAACCACAGAGAACCTCCCAAACTCACCAACCCACAGAGAGAAGAGTGGCCATGAGTGAGTGGTAATGGGGCCTAAGACACAAGAACCATGACTCTGTTACCTTGCTTGCCTACCACCAAACTCTGTGCAGGCTCCCCTGAGGGAACCAAGGGAACATGGCCTCCTTCCCCACTGCCTACCTCCCTTGATGTCCAGTTCTCACTTTCCTCCACTGCTTCTCCTCTGCCAGTAGAACTGGGGTCATGATGGTACTCTAAGGACCGTCCCTTCCTTCAAGAGCTCAAATGTCTTCCCATGTTTTTAATCGCAGAAAATGCCTGGTGCACGTACTCCTCTACAATGAGGATTAGTAGACTCTCCGGCCTGCCAGCTGTTTTCAGAAACAACATTGTCTTGGATCATAGCCACTTTCTTAGTTCACATGGTCTCTATGGCTGATTTTGGCTACAGTAGTAGAGTTGTGAAGTGTGACAGAGACCATATGGCCTGTAAAGCCCAACATGTTTACTATCTGGCCTTTCACAATAAAAGTTGGCCAACCTCTAAATTATTTCACGTTAGTCCTTTAAGATCTGAATGAGCTGTATTAGGAAGTGTAGCCTTTATCATTTACTGAAAATAGGATCTGCATTTTCAAACAAAGAGGCTAACATGCTAAAGAATATGAGGAATTTTGCCTAGTAATAGTAAAACTGCATCTGGTCTTTAAAACGCTGAAGAAACCCCAAGGTTTCTTTTATAAGACCAGAAGGAAGGACAGTGGCTGACTCTGGTCTGAGTACTTGTCCTTACCGTTGGAGAGAAGAAAACACATGATGTAAGGAGCTTAGTGAGGCAAAAAAGAATGGCAAGACTAGGATGGGGCCCTGATTCAGATGTCTTTTTCGGAGCTGTCGCCTTTCACACCTGTACCAGCTCGGAAAATAGGTTCTTCTGCCCTCCCCGCGGAAGACCGGGGCAGGTCACTGAGTGCCTCTGCCCCTTGAAGTTTGTTTGCTTGGCCAGTAGAGGTGGGGGAGATTTTACCATGCCCGACCAATAGTCATCAACAGTTTTACAAAAGATAAATTACCGTGAAAACCTTATAGGAATTGGTTCTTCCTTCTAAACGGCTGACTTGAGAGCTTTTTGTGTCTATATCGTCTGTAAGGCATAAACAATGTCTCAAAACTAAAACAACTCACATTGCACTTCTCAGATTTGTTTTATTTATTGTTATGCTGTCTAACTTCTAAGTGCTTTATGCAAAATATTTAAATTTTTATCCTGATAACATAATTCCATTGGGGAAAACCTTCAAAAGCTGTATTTCCTTCTCTGTGACCTGTTCTTTTCCTTCACTGGGTTCTACTTCATTTTGTGCCTTTGTTTGCAGAAATAATCTTGCAGATGGCAATTTCCCTTGTAATCAGTGACTGCCCTGTCTGAGTCGTCACCCAGCATGGCATTTCAGTAAACAATGTTTGTGCATTGCGTCCAGGCAGATGTGTTGTGTGCTTTCAAGAACACTGGCTGATAACCTTTCTAGCTTTCAGGCAGTAGGGACAAATAGAGAAAATTTTATGTACTCACCTTGAAACAAGAAAATGGCAAAGGAAGCATAGATTTTGCAGTGGATAATTCCAGCTAAATGCAGTGTCAGCTGCAGCTGTGGTGAAGCGGTCACTATTTTAAATGAATAATCTTTTGTAGAGAGAGTAACTTTTCACAGCGAGTTTATCACGGTTCCGTATACTTTTGCTTTGGTTTTATGCACATTATTAACATGTCACATTCATTTGTGTCGTGATAGCTGAGCATCCTGCCATGCTCACGTCTGAAATTAAGCACACTGGACTCCGTGTGCTCTGGTTTCTCCACTTGTGTGTCGGGGATGGATCCTGACAGGATAGGGCTCTTCCGCATGGGTCAGTGCATGATTACTGTAAACAGCAGGTCAAAGTCAGTGCAGCACTGGGCATCCTGGATTACAGCAACAGGTTGACTTAATTTTTGACATAGCAGTAAAGTTACTGCTATTATATTCAGACTGGTTTTCTTTCGGTATGAATTTTGAAAAATACTATTAACTTTAAATTTTAAAAATGATCTCACAATTATGTTACAAATATCAAAGTAATATGTCATAAATTTGCCTTTCAAATTTCATAAATTTTAGAAAGTATTGTTTTTTATTAGCTATCTTTCAGTGTTTCAGTTTCAGATTTATAGGTGAAATACTACAAATAAGCTCGCTCATTCATTGAACCAATAAATATTGAGTACCTTTTTTTTGTCTTGAGTCCTGCCCAGCAACAGTCATGTTGCATACTCTGAAAACACAGCCAGTAGACTGGATTAGTCTATATGAAAACATTTGGGATGCTATCAACAGACATTTGCCATGGTTCTCAAATATAACAATTATTCAGTTCCGCATAGTTTTCAAGAGCCTTCTCTTAAATTGTCACCATTGATAGCCTAAACTTTTGTGTTTCATAGAAAAAGTTACCTTCGTAAATATTTTCATGATTTATTTCTCCTTACTGCTTTTAACGTTCCTGAGCATTAACAAATTCCCTACCTTTGATTTCAGTCAACCATCATCCATAAGCTTGATAATTTCACTGTTATGTACATTCTTCAAATTGACCTCATTTTATGGGAAGAACAATTTACAAATTACTGAATTAGCTTCTGATTATGCTTCAGAGAAATAGGCTAATTGGATGTGTACTGACCATGTGCCAATCACCAACTTTTAGGAATAAGCAAATTAAAGCAGGCCATTAATAAGTTGTTATGCTTATACTTGCTCAACTGTGTATGCATTCTATGTCTTTGAAATCAGCTAATCCAAATTAACTCATCAATAGAATCTACCCAGGCACTAGTCTTAGAAATCATAGCGCTAGCTGAGAGCTATTTATGTGTTTGTTCATTGTGCTTTCCTGCTGTGAAGATTGTATTCTATTTGGTTTATTGTTACACAGAAACATGCATACCTACTTTAATACACAGGGACACACACAAAAAGAAAAGCCCATAAAGATTAAATCTTGTGAAACAAATTTTGAGAACAATTACTCGTGGCATAAAGAAATTTGTATTTTAAAATAGTTTTTCTGTCTTCAAACCATAGCTTTATTGGTTTGTTTAAAATATAACTTGGTATATACAGTACGAATTGATTTTATTTTTTCCAGTGTAAACGTATGTGAAGCATGGTACATTTTAGTGTGTGTTTATGGGAGAACTAGATAAAATATATTTTATTATTCTTAAAAATGTGTTTACTTTGTAACAAAGGGGATAGTGGTCGCTTCCATGACACAGAACATAAAGTAAGAAAAAGTACTGTGAACAAACAGAAGACAATAATTGGTCATAACAGAAAAGTTCTCTCTGTCTCTTTTTTGTTGCATAGGAGATACAGCTAAGGAAATGAGATGTAAACCTTCAGAAGCAGAGAGCAGCCAGTCTTTAGAGGTAAGTGAAATGCAGCAAGAATCTTTTGGGCCTGTAACTGAGCAAGTCCCTGTGACTCCACATTCTCCTGAGGATACATAGTAACTTAACTCACACCAAGAAGCTGGTGGTCTATGAAAGCCGGTGATGAGCAGAACAGTGAGTGGCTTCCCAAGGATCATTTGTTTTCTAGTGCAAAAAATGGGGTGCAACTTTTGGAAGGAGGTGAAAAGGAAGAGAGGGACAGAGAGAGGAGGGGAGGAACGATGGAAAGGAAGAAAGGGAAATTAGGAGAACAGAAGGGGGCAAAAAGAATGTAATTCTTGAGTTGGAAAAATTTGACTGGTTTTGGGTGGTTTTTTCCTAGCACATTTGAATAGATAGTATATGATTCTGCAGAGAGTTCTATTGTCTATTTCTGCATCAGAGAGTACTTCCTGACTATTCTGGAGAAAACCCAGCTTTACCTTCTTTTTCCATGAAAAAGCTGTTTTCTTCTGTCAGGATACTTTCTGCACACTGCATCGGCAGTGTTAAATCATTGCAGTAATCATCTTTAAAGCTTAAGGGAATGGGAAGTAGTAACACGATGCTTTGGTGGGAGAGATAGCCACAGTGTTGCAGTTTTCTGCACGGTGGCACCTCCGCTTCTCAAGGGTGGCTGAGAGCACTGCTGAATCCAGCTGCAGTGACGTCGGGGATCTGAAGTGTTTGTTTCAGCAGGAGAGCCCTGGTGCCTTCTACACAGTAGGTGGTCCAAAAGATTCCATAAATAATACATTAATTCCACTTAATTAATTATTAATGAGCTATGAGTAGAAAGTTACATTTATTTTTAAGGAATTTTTGAAAATAATTTTCACTAAGAAAATGTTTTATAACCAAGAGAAAACTTATTAAGATTGATGAATAGAAAGAAAAATCTTTTAAAAAATTACCTGCATTCATTTTTATTCATTCATTCCACAAATATTTATTAAACACTGACTATACCTAAGGCACCTAAAGAACTGCGTAAGTGGGTGCAGGAACAAAGAACTGTCTACCTTGTTGAGGGAAGCTGCTTGTTCATTTCCCAGCTGCCCAGACTCCCAAAATAATCACTCCGAAACTATAATATTTGCAGTACTCTTTGCCAAATACCTTAGGCATATTTCTGGATAACTCTTACATCTCAAAGTAACCCATTTCTATTAATCTGTATGTCCCATGTGGCCATGGCTTACGGTTCCATCTGGCTTGGCATCTGTCTTGGAGGGGGCTATATAGCTTCTCCCTGACTCTATCTTCTTCCTCCCAGCATTCAGTTCAGTCTTCCCCACCTAGCTCTATTCTACCCTATCACAGGCCAAAACAGATTCCTTATTCCTTAACCAATAAAAGCAACACATAGACAGAAGGACCTCCCACACCATTACCTTTTATTCTGAAGTACCTTGATCTCTTCAGTTTTATTTCACTTCAAGCATCCTGTGAGAGCTGATGTGAGTACCATAGGAAATTATTTCTCTAAGTTTTAGAGCAGGAAAGCCCAAGATCAGGGCGCTAGCAACATTACTGTCAGGTAAGAGCCTGCTTTTTGGTTCATATGTGGCGCCTTCTTGTGTCATGACATGGAGTCATGACCATCATTCCTTCTTAAAGGAACCACTCCCCCGTATGAATGGTCCATCCTCATGACCTAATTATCTCCCCAAAGCCGTATCTCTTAACGCTATCACCTTAAGAATTCAGTGTCAACATGTCAAATGGGACGTGGGTGTGGGGAAGCATATTGAGACTTAGCATAAGTACATGATGTACTAGAGATATCTGTACAGCTTGACAGTTTTTTATTGTTTCTAAGTTTGCTTATCAGTGTGAAGAATTTCAAGGCTACTTCCTAAGGAAAGGAGCATTTTAAGAATCTTAAACACTTAAACATTTTAAGTAACAGCAAATTTTAACGGTGTTGTTTCTGGACTTTTAATTAGTACATTGGAGTTGATGGATGTACTCAGATGTGTCAGAAGTACGTTCTGAGTAATGGAAAAGCCAGTGTTTGCTCACTGAGAACACAGAAGAGACAGGGGAAGCCACAGTTATATCATAATGCAAGAGGCTGTCTGATTTATCAAAGTAGGGTCAAAATTATTTATTTTTACCATAAGCATCTAAAATGTAATTCTTTATTTCTCTTGATAGCATTGCAGTGTACTTTGTACCGCTTAAGCCTTCATGTAGAAACAAACAAGAATGTATCACCTAAACTAGCTGTTTTCAACTCTGGGGAGTGGCTCATGACTCCCACAGTGGATTATCTAGTCTATGGTCCTGAGTTTAAGACTGTCTAACCCGCTGACAACATTTTATCTAAATGTTGTATCTAAACATATCATCCTAATTTGATCATAAAAGCCTCGATCATTTTTGTGTGCATACACCCCAGCATCACTGTCCAAGGTTTCATCCATCTCTTCGCATCTCTGTCATCCAGGACGTGGTGTGTGATGTGGGAGTGTCATATATCAATCTGTTGATTTCATTGGTTAAGTTATAATAAACCAACTGCTTGGCCTCAGCTTGGAACATAGATGGGAGGAGTAAACAGAATAGAATTCTGGGCGGAAGAGGAAGTGAGGTCAGACTCTGCTCTGCTCCCGGAGACCCGACAGCTCTGCTGGAGCAGAGACGCCATGCTCAGCTCTCCCAGGCAACTCCAACCCACGATGGACTTAGGCTAGAATCTTCCCGGTAAGCGCACCTTGGCGTGCTTACAAACATTATTAGAAATGGGCTAGTCCAGGGGCGAGAATTAGCCTGTAAGGGTTAGAGTTCATGGGCCAAGCAGTTCTTTAAATGAATACAGTTTGTGTGTTGTTATTTCGGGCGTGAGCTAGCCAAGCGGCTGGGGTGTTGGGGACGCAGCCCCGCCGCCGCTCCTATTTCAACAGGTGTGGAGCTGAATCCCCTGAGGAATCCTCGGCTCCTGCAGTCCTCCAGCCTTGTCACTGTCAGAGCAGTCAAAGCCACCACCTTTTTTTTTTTGAACCAGGTTTCCACCTCCAGTCTTCCCGTAGAGGCCATTCTTCACATAGCTGACAGAAATAAAAGTCAATGGGATCATTCTGAGACTTGAAGTTAGCTGACTACTCACTGAGGGAAATGAGCACTAACCGCAGAGTGGACTCGTTTCTCCCCACATCCCACCCCGCCCTCCATGCCACTGGCCTGCCTGTCATTGGATGATGTTGAGCTCTTTCTCTTCCCTTGGTTCCTTGTTCTGTAGAAGGTACCATTTGTGTAGCTAGCATGTCTCAGGACCGCCTCTGCTGAGCTGCGCTCCCTCAGCCAGCATCACATGACTGAACTTCCTCTGCTCATACGTTTATCACTGTCTCAGATCATTTCCTTTCCACCAGCCACCTGTGTGGAAATAAAGTAGACCTCATATGCTCGGGTTCACATCTACATAAAATGAGCTGAAAAAATATGTAACATTAATTTCTTTTAGTGCTGTGATTTAGGTGCCAAATTAAAAGCCTCAGTGTGATTGGGCGCATTTGTCTTCCCTCCTTTTCGAATCCTTACGATTCCCCCCACTGAAGGTTTCATAACAGGTTTCTCTTCCCCGGCCTAGCAAGGTCCTGTCTTCACCTGACTCTTACCGGATCAGCATTTCTTTCTAAGATCTATTTCTAGTGGGTTTTCTTACTTCTGTGCCTCTGAAATGCCACAAAACCTGCAGAGTAGCCGGGCGATGGTGGCGCACGCCTTTAATCCCAGCACTCGGGAGGCAGAGGCAGGCGGATCTCTGTGAGTTCGAGACCAGCCTGGTCTACAGAGCTAGTGCCAGGACAGGCTCCAAAGCCACAGAGAAACCTTGTCTCGAAAAACCAAAACAAAAAACAAAACAAAACAAAACAAAAAAAAAAAAAAAAAAAAAA